TTTTTAATTTTTTTTTTGAAGCAGGGAGAATAAAATTTTTGTTTCAAATTTAAAACCCCCCATATGGTAAAAAATATTTTTCCAAACTTTCAAAATCATTTTTTACTCAAAAACTATACCCCCCCCCCCCCCAAAAAAAAAAAAAAAAAAAAAAAAAAAAAAAATCAAATACAAGAGAACACTTAACACGTTTTCAAGGGTGGTTTCTAATCATTGTGTGTAAAACAACACAGAAATCTAATTATGTACTTGTAATAAACACCATTTGACCAAAATATATATTTATCACATTCTGAATGACTCAATATCGTGTCACATTCTACAGAAGTTTCACTGCGCAAATATAAACATGTCCACGAGTGTGGTACTACAGTAGGCTAGATATAATAGATCAAATGAAAGGCGTGAATGGCGTACGCAACATTTGTACCTCTAAAAGTATCTTAATTGAAAGAAAAAAGTAGAAAATGTAAAAACTTACCCGGCTTTACAAGAACAAAATGAATCTGATAACATGTTATCGTCGATTTTGATTTGGAGTTTGTGCGGTTCTTCATTTTTCCTCATCGACCGCCAACAGTTTGCATCAACATAAATTGTTCCGTTTCTCTCGGAAATCTTCACATTGTGAATATAACCTTGCGTAAAATAATTCAGTCCTTTTTCAAGAGCTTTTTTGGATAAAGATTTACTATTCGGAAGGAAATTAACTGCGATATTTTCAGGTATTTTCTCTAAGGAATCTGACACGATGTTCGTCTGCTCGGTCGCCATTTTGACTATAGCTTGTTACACGTAGCAACAATATCTAAGGGGGCGGAGCTTATCCGCTCATCTCGGAACGGTGAATAAATATGTTACAAAAATTGTTTTTTGAAATTTGCTTGGTTTGGTGCATGTAAGCTTGCTCTGCCAAATTATACATTACCGATACGGGCTGTCACCAGTACCTTCTGTTTTTTTTCCGAATTTATATCAGAATATTCTATCTATCGCAATGAGTGAAATGTCTGGCATATATTCATATAGCAAATATTCTTTTATGATATTATTCATACAACTTATTCAATCCAGATTTAGTTCATGTGTATCTTGATGGAATGCTTTAAGCAAGCAGTTTTCTAAGAACTTTATTTTAAATTAATGGTTTTATATTCCCATCCTTCTGTTGAAACGAGCAGTTTGCTTATTGTTTCATGAATAAAATAATGAATAAAAATCCCTTCTCCATACAATGTTCTTCGTTTGATAATTATCCTTGTTGTACAGTGAACGAAAATAAAGGCAGTCTCAAGAAATATGTTGATGGAGAAATAGGAAGAAGGTGATCTTATTGCAACTCTCAATTTACCTGTACGTTGCAGTAATTAAACTGTTAGCTTACGTGGCAGCTCTGATTAAAAGTGTCACCTGAAAATCTTTTGTCCCACTTAAACTTTCAAGATGTGCCAAGTTTGATTTCAATCACGCTCCCTGCGGCAACTGCCGATACGAGACCAGCACCTGACAACAGTGAAATTGTCATCCCTAGAGGAAATCTAAAGCACAGAGATGTCTGCTCACCAGTTGTCCAAAGTTGGAAAGTTAATGGTACAGTTAAAAAATATACGAAAACCTACACCCTAGAATAGATCACAGAATTAAGGAATGTGCTTTTGTGCGACTACATGTAGCCCTACTTCTACAATTATTATTATCATCATTGAATAATAAGACTCTGCCCACCACCTATTAACTCAAACATTACAGAAAGAAGGTTCCCTTAAGATTTACACTGTTATGTTGTTGATGTGATCTGTAAGTTTGATGTTCATTACATAGGATTGGACGTTGCTTTTGGTCCCTTCTTCACTATAAACTGAGCCACACAACAGTGGTCAAATTCCTGCTTAAATCAAGACGGCTACTCCAGCTCACTTTCCGGCCATTTTGCATTAATTTGACACATGTAGTCGAACGTGTTGTGTAAAATATCAATGAAGTACTGATTGGCTTAAAAACCGGAAGTTCGAGGAAATGAACCAAGCGTTTACCTTGGCACAAATGGCCTTCGTTTACAACTTGTAGGCAGTCATGTGACGTGAGAGTACCGTGAAAAAGAATTTTTGCGTTTATGTTATTCCAATTGAACAGTATGATCAGTCAGACGTCAGAGAAAAAAAAAACAAAATTATTTTTGGTTTCAATTTTATTTATTTTATTCTTTTTTGGCCATTTTAAAGTTGGCGGAGCTTGAGAAACAAGTTGTTTGAAAAAATGCCTTACACCTTTTAAAAGAAGAATCGCGTGCATAACTGCTGGCGAGAGTAAGGATTGACTGGGCATCCTAGTAGTCTCTGTTGGGATTGATTTTTTACAAGAAATCAATAAATCAATGTAAATTACTCTTAAACGTCCAATTCTAACCAGGGCAAAGTCATGTTTGGGTCGCGTCGCAGCGTAACAGAAGACGATTTAATAGCCCACAATTAAGCGGGATCATATATCACGCCTCTTTTCATGCATGGTTGTGTTGCCGCAAGGCGAGAAAAACCCCGCCGTCACCCTATTTACATAAGCCCACCCCTTCTTACTCATCGCTGCATGTGTAAGATGTACATGTACGTAAGATGTCTGTAAAATATACGTAAGTACAAATTTTCACACAATTCTTTTGTGCTCTTAAGGGGCATACGTAAGACAACTTAATCGTTTTTGAAGTAAGCATATCCGTAATGTCATCTTCTCTGCACAAAACTGTATGTATTTATTGTCACTGTATGTGTTTATTATATAATATATTAATATATTTTGATCACTATGTTATTTCTTTGTTGTCACTACTGTATGTGTCTATAAATATTTTTATTGATGATATATTATCTATTTTTAGTAGAGATGAAGGTGTATTTCCTGGATTATTATCACACTGAGGACATCTGAACTGACCTCAACCCGGCAGCCTCAGCACAGGTCAGTGCAACAACGATATTGCCATACTGGTGATTGTCTTTAACCGCAGTGTGACCATCGCCACTATATGTTGTTAACTGAGAAATTATCATTTGTAAATGGGTCATTTAGATCCAAATTAGTTTTATATATTATCAAGGTGACACAAAGGTTAATGTGAAATGTTCGGAGTTGGGGGGGTTGGTTCGCTAAGCAAAAATTTTGATATAGACAAAATTCCATGTGTGCATTATAATGCCTGTGCATTGTCTGCATGTTAATTGTCACATGAAATGTGTATATGTATTCTGATCGCTGTCTTTGTCTTTATTGGCGTTGTATATGTTTATTATAATATAGTAATATATTTTGATCACAGTGTTATTTCTGTGTTGTTTCTACTGTATGTGTCTATAAATATATTTTATTTTTGATGTATTATCTTTTTTCAGTAGAGATGAACATGTGTTTCCTGGATTATCATCACACTGAGGACAGCTGAACTGATCTCAACCCCACAGCCTCAGCACAGGTCAGTACAACAAGGATATTGCCATACTGGTGATTGTCTTTAATCGCAGTTTGACCATCACCACTATATGTTGTTAACTGAGAAATTATCATTTGTAAATGGGTCACTTAGATCTAAATCAGTTTTATATATTTTCAAGGTGACAAGGGTTAATGTGAACTGTTTGGAGTTGAGGGGGAGGGTTCGCTAGGCAAAAATTTTGATATAAACAAAATTCCATGTATTCATTCTGATGCCTGTGCATTATCTGTTATGACATTGAATGTGACTGGATATATATTCTGATCACTGTCTATATATGTCTTTATTGTCGCTGTATATGTTTATTATAATACAATATAATAATATATTTTGATCACTGTGTTATTTCTGTGTTGTTACTACTGTATGTGTCTATAAATATATTTTATTTTTGATGTATTATCTGTTTTCAGTAGAGATGAACATGTGTTTCCTGGATTATCATCACACTGAGGACAGTTAAATTGATCTCAACCTCGCAGCCTCAGCACAGGTCAGTGCAACAACGATATTGCCATTCTGGAGATTCTCTTTAATCGCAGTTTGACCATTGCCACTATATCTCGTAACTGAGAAATTAATTATCATTTGTAAATGGGTCACTTAGATCTAAATCAATTTTATTTATTTTCAAGGTGACAAGGGTTAATGTGAACTGTTCAGAGTTGGGGGGGGAGTTGGTTCACTAAGCAAAAATTTTGATATAGACAAAATTCCATGTGTGCATTATAATGTCTGTGCATTGTCTGTTGTCGCATGAAATGTGTATACCATCCTAATTTTATGTATGTGTACATTTATTCCGTCTACCATAAGAAGATTAGATGCGATTAAAACGACAGAAAAAACAGTAGAGGAAGTGTGCTAATGATAGGGTCGCTAGACGATTTTTGACGGAATGTAGTGACTAGCCTAATCTCCTGGTCACCTGTGTAGGGCCCCCACCCCCCCCCCCCCCCCCCCCTTAGAGTACTTATGTAAACAAACGGTCTCCCGTACCGAACTATCCTTTTGTTCAACAGCTTTGTGCGTGCAGCGGATTATATTTGTAGTGACACTATATAGCTAACTTCAGTTGAATCTGTGAAAGCTGTTATTTGATTCATTCTGCTGTGTCGGACATTGTGGACCAGCCCAATGTTTCATTCACTTATTCTTTTCTGAAGATTGGTGATGCAGATTTTGAGTGCTTAATTATTTACCCTGCTTCTAACAAGTGAAAGTGGAAGGGAAAGAAACAGATACATTAATTAAAGGGACTTGTGGTGGAAGAAAACAATAGACTGTTTTGCACCAAGGTGATGGCCCATAACAGGAGGGATTATACTTTAAATATAGACTCATTGTTGTATGGTTTATATTTGTGCTGACTTATTTTACTCTCGTTCATTTCTTGGAACTAGTTCCTTGAATGAAATTTTGCCTGTATAAATTTACTCTGTGACATGAATTAATTAATAAAACTCTCCCGTTGAAAAAGGGGGCTTTTCGTAACTAATACAGGTTCACAGGTAAGTTGTTCAGAAAAAACGCCGTTCAGCGCCGCTACCTTCAGGAAAGTGTATCCTCCGCTTGGAACACTGGCATTTTTTGTTATCTGACAAATTAGGGCAGATGTCCATTTGCGTTTTAGCTATTAAGCTATTTAGCTATTAATTCTGAATTTACGGGTATCCCCGATGAAAGCACCAGGATGAACACTGAAAAGCGGAGTACAATAATTAACTTTTTTAAATATCGATTACAACATGCTGTACAATGAGTAGTAAAAGGTTTAATGAACATATTTGTCTAAAAAAACAATTCATTTCGAAATTGAAAGAAGCAGTTTTTTTCGGGAGGCATGGGAGGGGGAGACATAGTTAACATCAGGTGATTCATTAAAGCCGAGGAGTGTTTCGCTATCAAATATGTAAAGCATATGTCATAAAAACACTATAATAATTTTTTTGTTACAATCTGCAACATTTGTTCATTTATATAGCAGGGCGAAGTTAATGCCAAAGGTAAATAATAACTAATACCGTAATCCTTCTTGTCCATTTATTTCAATCGTATCAAAACGTTTGATACACAATGTTCATAAATGTCATAATTTTGTCGATTTATTGAAATCATATTTGTACAAAGTGGGTTAGCATAAGTTAAGCAACAACCAGTATGAAAATCAACTGCCTTTTTAAGTGAGGCAAGACGCCCTCTTCACACTGATTATAACCTTGATAAAGACATTATGCAACAAGACAAAGGAGTTGTGTAAAGTTCTGTTAACTCGAGTGTGAAACAACACATTCTTTGTCACTTTTACAAGACAATGGAGGCGAGCAAGTGGAGTAATTACAATATACAATCAAAAGGAAATTAGTTTAGAAAGCTTACTTCAGGTCAGCCCTTTGCTTGTTCGAGAGAGAGAGATATCGCGACTCGACCTTCGTGTGTTTGTGTAAATGTGTGAAAGACAGGCAACTGTCTTGAATCACTGTTGGTATTGTTTGTAATCAATATTGAAGTATACCCCCTTCGCCTACATGTAAACGTGTTAGTTTGTCTCATGTTCACTATATTTCTTTCAGGTGGATCAGACAAGGTGTTGAGATCGATAAAAGTAGAGTGCAATTTGGTGCAATTTTTGTGAAATGACTTAAGTGATGTGCACGATGTGTTTAAATTCTTGATTTTTTTAATTTGTAAAATCTTTCATACACGGCCTCATATTTATATTACTCTCAGGCTATACTCTTCGATGTTATTGTATTACATGGGACTCTTGGAAACCTGAAGCATAGAGCATTGTGAAAGTTAATTCGCAATGGAGTCTTGTTATCTTCTTCATGCAGTTTTATACAGTAGGACACATACTGTCAGGATTTAGGTGTGATTTGAAACGTCATGTATTTTCTGCTACGTCCGGGTCACGAAATAGCACCAAAACATTGGCGCGATGAAAAATGCATACGTCGGAAATAAATAAACTTTGCGAAAAAACTATAGTGAATTGACTTTCCATATTTTAGAGACTAAACAAGGAGTTATCCGTCTATTGAAAAACTGTAAGATTTTGTCAATGCACTGTACAGAGTTACAATTATTTCTCTCTGAATCAAGAAAACTGAAAAATTTTACATGTCCGAAAATGCTTTTGTATAGCGAGGGACTATATTGCGAGGAAATTGTTTCCAAATACGAAATTGGCTTAGAATTAATAAAATGGTCGAATATATATCCAGGTTTTCGATTTTGAAGGGAATTTCCCGCACACTCTCTGGTTAAGAAGTCTCGACAGAAAATCAGAAAAGTTGTGAAAAAACAGAGCAAAATTTCTCCCCTGAGGCACCTCCGATAAAAGTGCACATCTCATTCATTTCCGAACTTAAAATTACGTTTATTCATCCAAAAAAGTTAGTGACTAACCTCAATTTTCATGCAAAGCAATGATGTTCCATAACTTGCTACGACAGTATTTTTTTACCTTGAACTGTGGAAGTTCAAAAAAGTCATGTGATACAAATCATGTGACGCGCAGATTTGGGTGCTAAAATGCACCTTTATAGACCCATATAAGTCAAATATAAATTTAAGAAACAGAATAAACATTTCTTTTATCAAAGACCAAAAACTTAATACAAATTTAGTAAATTTACCCGAAATCCCATCCACTAAACGAGAGGTGAACTGAGGTGCTTTCCAACGAAACCCCACAATTTACCACGAGGCAGGGACAGGTGAAGTAGGTTGTGCGGCAAGTTATGATTTTTATCCTTGCTGAAATATGGAACCCACATATTTATAGCATGTCAGAGACTCATTATCAGGTACGTATACAAATTATTTAGATTGTAAAATATATATAAATGCTTTTTATTACGAGAAATGTGCTAGTTTCGCTCCACTACTGTACATAATCAAACATATTTGTTATACATTGTATCTTGTAGGTTTGTTGTTAAAATGTGCACTGTGTGACCGACGCAGGCTCATTCAGAGTACTCTAACTCCGACTACAGTTCAGTTTTAAGATTAACTTTTGATCTAGTGTTATTTAGAATACTAATATTACATAACATGTGCCTTAATTAGTACGTACGTGTACTGTAGCTGTACAATGTACATGTAGCACCTGTCGTGTAAAGCACAGATAATGTGCTTTAGAGTTGTATATATTGATTGAATTATGAATACATCACCTTTTATTTGTAATAATTAGCAATAGGTCAGGGGAGTATTTGGCAAGATTTAACATTTCCCTTGTCTTTTTTTCAGGCTGATAAAATTTTTAAAACTTTCCAACATTGATGTAAGGAAAAAGATGTTTGGATATACATGTAGAATGGTAGAAGTATTTATGTAATATGAGCTTTTTTTCATGATCAGTTAACACTCATTTTCAGTATAAAGGTCCATTTGAAAGTGTAGGGTTTATTTTATAAATCATCGAAAATTTTTAAATCCATGACTTGCTAGTACAGGTATGAAAATGAAAGTTGAGACATTTATACACCATACTCACTTACTGTTGAAGTTGTAGATTTTTTACTTAAGTTAAAATGAAGTAGATCTATTGGGGAATGTATTATGGTTCTAAGAACAACAGTAATAAAGGTTTAAAATATAATCCACTTATGTTTTCTGTATGAAAAAAGATAAAGCCAGTAATTATTATTTTATTATGTGAGTTCCTAGACTTGTGTTAGTTAAGTACCACTTGGACATATCTTCCGTCCCTCGCTCATTGTTAGTCAATTTTTTAATGTTAAATGGACCTATATATTGAAAATGGGTGATGGGTGTAAACAGATTGTTTTTACTTTTAGTTGCATGGAATTGTAAATTCTGGATTTATTCTGATTTTCTTTTCCAGATAAAAGAAGAACAGTTTTTTCAGATATTACAGAATCTCTGCCAGGCTTTGAAGTGCCCTGAAAAGTGATCACGATGATATGCTGCATCGTTATCATGCATTCCTATTAGTCATATTAAAAAAACTGTCACCAAGCCCTTAGTGAAAATTGGTTATCAAAGTATTCTTTGGCAGCACTTACATTTTTTGAAACATAAATATTGAATTTTTTAAAAGAAATATGACTTCGGTGGTATTTCTTTAAGATAATTGGATGGCAGTGTTGCAAACAAGTGTTATTATGGACACATTTTTTTCTAATTGGACTCCCAGGAACCAGACTGCTTTTCAGATTCAAACAAGAATTTAAAAAGAAAAAAAATGTCAGAATAGTAAAAGAGGTACTTTGAATATATTTACAGTCCACGTCCATTTATATCCAGTATATAATGCCTGGTGTTCACAAATACAGGTAGAGCCCTTTTAGGAAGCAAGTTACATATTCCCATATTTTAATATCAGATATCAAATACAAGCATATGGAACTGTTTTGAATAAAGACATAAATTGTCCTTGGTGGTCAGCATATTTTTCTCTTATTTTAAGTCTTAAAAGGATAGCTAATGTTTTTTGAGGTAATGCATTTGAAGACGGAACATGTATGAAAATTTCTTCAGCAAAAAAAAAAAAAAAGGAAAGTCATTAAGTTCAACCTAGTGCAATGAAAGTGAATTTTTTTCATTAAGTTTGGAAATATTTTTTGTTTTTATTTATGTATTTTTTAAATTTTTACACACTTTGTATAACTAAATACTTTGTGTATTCTTACTAGCGCCCATGCATATGGATTTCCTGTGCATGTATACTTGTACCATTGTTTTGAAAATAAAATTATATCCTGTTGTTTTTTTTACCCTCTGTTTTTTTATTGAATATAAAAGAGGTAACTGTTCATATCAGCCCAAAATGGATTCTCCTGGAGTAAATGACAATTTCCCCCTTCTTACCAATATTAATAGTTACTGGGGTACTGAATCAGTTTTGACATTCAAAATTAGTCTGTACTGTAATTTTTTAATTTGTTTTAATATTTCAAAAGATTACAGAGTACAGCCACCATGTGATTGGATGGCAAGAACAGTTTCCAAAAATATTGTGAAAACTACCATTTTGGTGGTAAAATGGAATATATATATATTGTATTCCTATGGGTTCTTTACACTATTTATTCTTAAATGTGAATTTCATACAAACAGTTGTTAACCCTTTAAAATATTAATTTAAGAAAGGATGAATTTGTCTGTGCAAAATAAAGAAAAACAAGTTGGTTTTATTTTAAACTTAAGTTTTGGATTCAGAAATGTTCAATTACCTACATAATTTCATAAGTAACATTGAAACATATGCAAGGTACCCCTTAGCAAAATTTTAAGCTTCCCGCACACTGTTTCTGCGGATGCGCAGCAGATTCACAGTAAGGGTTTCTGCGGATGCGCAGCACGCCTCATTTGCATGGTAAAATACGCACCTCCCGCACACTCCTTGCACATCTCCTGCACACTCTCTGCACACCCCCAACACCACAACCAGCACACTTCTTGCATACCTTCTGCGTACTTCTTGCATACCTTCTGCGTACTTTTTGCACACATCCTGCGCACATCTTGCACACCTCCTGCATATGTCTTGCACACCTCCTGCGTACTTTTTGCACACCTCTTGTGCACTTCTTGCACACCTCCTGTGCACTTTTTGCATACTTTCTTGCACACTAATTTAAATATTTTATAACACAATTTAAATTTTATTCACTCGTTTTTTCAATCAGTTAATATTTATTCTATAAAGACAGGTTCTGAGTTACATATTTAAAGACGTGCAAACAGAAATATTGTTAAATCCGTTTATCAACAACAAACAAGAAATTACAGTCATATATTGTGCTTTATTAATCAAATTAAAAAATCGAACAAAATCAGCAAAATCCAAGCCATGTCCATATTTCTCTTCTTTACGTCTTTCTGTCACATTTCTCTCCTTTACTCATCCTGTCCTGCTACGTCCATCTAAAAAAAAGTATACCATAAAAGTCCTACAAATTTACCACACTGTGCACAATGCTTAACATCCAAATCTTTAACATCCATGTGGAGGACAAAAAACCATCAATATACACATTACTGTTTGAGAAGTCCTAAAATCAAGTTCAAGTGTTTATTGTTCATATAAAGAAAAGGTAGAGAGGTAGGCAGAAAAATGTCTTGGATATTTAAAAAAACAAAGTGCTAAAACTGCTTTGAAGAATACTTTATATACATGCCTCGCACATTGTTGTTATGTTGAAATCTTAAGGTTTATAGTTGCATTCACTTTTTCACTTATTTTCAACATATACTTGTTGAATGATGTAATCAACTTGCAGTTAGTGTTGTTCTCTTTTAAAACTTACTCTGCACAGCTCTTTCAACTAGAGAATCCTTCACAAAAGAAACTGTTGCTGACAGTTCTTGTGGGCTGAAAAAACTTTCTAGTAACTTCTTTATCACAAAGGTACTTGACTTTTTGGTACACTTTGTGAGAGTTTCGATGAGCCACCAACTATAGATATTCACAGCAAAGTGTCCCTTCCAGTCTTGTCATGCCAGCTTCTGTATGGATCACCTGAAATAAACAATTATTCAACAAATATCCATTTGTTCAAGTAGCACAGTAAGAGACAGATTTTTTTTAGATTCAACTGCATTTGAAGAAACATTTTGGTGAGCAATTGATCATAGTTTTATAAGAAATGAAGAGACTAAACAGTGATTGCATTCTATATCCTTGTTTCTTTGTTGGGTAAAAGGGAAGTATACATTATAAATTATAACTTATTTAGTGTAATATAGATATAATGTTTACAATGTACACTACAAATTAGATCAATTTTCTCATTTTCAATTTGATTAGATGCCCAAATGATCCAATGCATTACTGTAATACATACCTTCCTCAATCTTTTTTTCTACAATCTGTACTCAGCTTCCACTATGCTCTTCAGTTAAAACTGGCTTGATAGTTAACAGCCTTCACTCATTTGCTGTTTGTCTCATAAACAAAGACTTAGACAGGATACCACACATCTGATAACACCAAATAGGTGGTTGTTGTAATAGAGGCTGTCCGGGTTCTCAACGAGAAGACCAAATTTCCCCGTGATTTTAGGAGATCTGCCTTGAGGTGGGGTTAAAATATGGAGACCAAAAGGAAGTAGAGCAGCGATTTCTTTACTTAAAAAATAGCTGAACTTACACATTTTTTTTAGCTACAGGCTTGTTCTTTCTTCACTTTATAAAGAAAAAGTATTGATATAATATGTACGTACAACTGACATGTTGAATTTGCCAAGCTAAGAGCCGATGACGCTTGCAAAGCAAAATTCGCTCGGAGGACGTACTATGCAGCAAAGGTCGCGTTAAACAGGCTACATCACCAGATGCTTGTGGTACAGGAAAATGACATTAGTTACCATGACCGTTGATACGCATGCCTTTTAGATGAAAGTAGCTAGGATTGAATGAGAATCGGACGGATGATGCCCCGGCAGCTTCCAATTATTCATGTGGCCAATGTTAAACTTTGGTAAGGAAATATTTCTTAATTTATGATGAAGTGTATACATCACATCTCTGTTAATATATTACTGATGTATGATAGGTTTTGTCAGCTGATGTTTTTGAATCGTTTTATTCACAAATTAAAAGGCCATCATTATCACTTTTAGTTTGAAGTGCAATCTCTCAAAAAGTCTATAGTGCTATGTTTAGTATCCGGCACTTCAAATTTGTTATTGTGAGTGAACTTAAATTATTCATTGTTTTTTTTTTTCAGTGGGGATGCCATATAAAACATGCTGTGGCTCTAGCATCATATTGGACATACCCGGTAAAGGGGGCTGGATAACTTCACATGCGAACTCTGGGATAAAGATGGATCACATTGCTTGGCAAATGTAAACCAGTCTAAATTGACTTGAATCCTCTAGCTGAAGGGATAGATTTTTGAAGATCAAATGCCTTAGTGTACATACAAACTTAACAAACCTTGTTTATATAACAGGGGCAGTATTGTTATTCATTTTGAATAGGAATGATGGACTTTCACAACTATATTTAATCACCTTTATGGCCTTTGCAGAGATTCATTTGCAACCTTTTTGTCACTTTATGGGAGTGGCATGACTGTTTTGCTTCCAATGAGATCAATGTTGAAAGTAGGTCCATGTACATTCTACAGGCATTGGACATTTGTAAATAAAGTAATCCAGTTCTGTCGAGGGCTTAATTGCTTCATTCTTAGGTTATCATAATTACTAAATTTAAATTATTAACTCCAGCGTATTGCAATATAAAATTTCCTACTTCTGTTTTTTTTTGCAAATATTCTTCAATCGGTGTTGGCTACAAACTTCCATTTTCACTATTTCCCTGATGTAGATGTCAAGAACTTTATATAGTTATCCACTCTTTTTCATTTTTTAATTGTCAATTTATATTACTGTCTTTGGGATTTTAAAGAGATGCTTATTTAAACATGCCAGTGGATGCAAAATAGACATATTAAAGATATTGTTTATTTTTGATTGTTCTTCATTGACTGGTCATATCATGAGATCCGTTTGAACAACAAAAGCTTTATAACTGCAACTAATTTTTCTTTATAAATGTTTTACTATTAAACTTTATTTGTAAAGAAGTAAAATAAAATCATTTGACATTTCATTTACTGAAGGGATGGCATATTAGAACATTAGACTTGCCTGCATCTTTGTTTTACTTTCACTAAATTTATAGTAACTAATTCAAAAGGCTCGAATTTGATCATAAAGTTAATTTTCTTCATTTATTTACTTATGAAAATGATGCTATAGAAACTAATGGCATTCACAAAATGTAAGTTTCATTGTGATCAGATCCGACTTAAATGACAGGAAAGATGACAAAAGAAAGTATTAAAATGGACAACATATAAGTTGAAATTTTCACAAAATCATTGCATTTTATTGACAGTTATACACAAATGCAACAAATAAACACATCACAGGCGAACTTGTATTTGTGATCTGAGTAAATGATATGAAAAACAGGTGTCATATAGTTATTAAAAAAGTCACTACAGTAACATAAGAATGATACTAGCAAGAAAAATAATTTTCTTCATTAAATCACATAGGCCTATATATAAGCCTATTCATAAAACCGAATATTTCATTTTAAAGTAATAAAGAAAATGCCTGATACTGTAAGTGACACCCAGACAAAAATGCCATCTATTGACTCCTGATATAATTAAGTAAACAACATAATAACTTAGGACATAAGAGATTAATATACACTGAGCAATCTTCAACATCTGATTATCCTGACCACATGACTCTCACAGTTCTTGCCTGGTTCAATAACATGCGCTGTGTCTGTCATGCTCTAAAATAAATAAAAAATAACTCACTTAGTTTTCTGAAATATATATCATTATGTGATAAACGTTGTTGTAAAATACCAACTCTAATTTCTACCTTACTTGCAATTATGATAACTGACCACCCGGCATGGAATGTTACAAATGCAACTGAACATTGTGTATGCTTAATAGGTGTGGAAGGTTCACCAGTATTTCATAATCGGGTAGGCCTACACGTTATATGGAGATAGGAATGGTACAAGCAAATTTGTCTGATATAGTTACCGTAAAAGACTATTAATCACAAGTACTAGGGCTGTATTACATTAATAAACCATGGTGTCCTGTAAACTACACACAAAACTTACTTATTAATATGCCCCTCGACCGTTGATGATACGGTCTATACAGTGATGCCATGGAGCCAGTGATGTGCCGGGTGCGAGTTGTCTGCAGTTGGTCCCTTTCTTTCTACAAAATACTGCGACCTGATCTGTACTTTAAATATGTCAGCACTTAGTCCTTTTAATCTAATCAAGCCCAACTTCTCTTTCTTCACTTCTCTCGCCAGTTGTGTCCGTCATCCATGGTCATTTTCCTGGTTTTCTTGCTTAACTTTAACTGCAATGCACCCAACGACACAACATTAGCAATTCGCCAAATTACATGACAACGCCAAATTTTACTCAATGCAATCCTATAACATAGACTTGTGCCCAACCGCGAGAGAAGTTTCAATGGCAGATTTTAACCCCACCTCTCGTGAAATCTCACTCCAATCCAGGTCTCGTTTGACGTCATCTGCTGCGCAGATGTTCAAAATAGGCTATCCCGGACATTCCCTATTGGTGTAGCAATAGCTGCAGGAATAGAGACCTAATAATAGGTGCCAGGCTAACAAAAGACAGTTGTTGAATCTGTGGTTGGAGTAGGACATTCTCTAACATCAGTTGGCTGTTAAACCCTAGGCTTAAAGTGTGATTGAGCATGATTTATAATAAAATGTATCTTTAAAAATATTAATTTGTCCTCCTTTCCCACCCTTTATGAGGGACAGTACTATACCCTTTATGTTCACTTACTTTTACATTACATTACATATATTAGGCTGGATTGAAATTTCACTTTTTAAAACAGCCAAGGTCAAGTAAAATCTGACAATAAGCAAGATTAAAATCTGACTAGATAAAGTTGACTTTCAATATAATAGAAGAAATATGAAGTTAGTAAATATCATCATAAAAATACTAAAAATACATTTACTGTGTTTTTATCTTTTTGTGAAAATTAACTAGCAAAGTCAAGATTATACTAGTAGGAGCCATGTTTAATTTACCACAACCCTAGATTTCATGACTGTTTTTGATACATCCTGATAATAATCTTTTTAAATAACAGGCATAGCATTTCAAAAGTTGTGATTTAGTGAATGAGTTTAAAGGGTTGATTAGGCATTTTTCTATCAGATGTTGTTAAACTTATATTGCTCTTGACGTATTCTCATACTTTGAGTGAGGTAAACACCATAGTTTGTTAGAACAATACAATTTATAACTAGCTTTACATAATGTTATTTATTTGTTTGTTGGACTAATTTGGCTGGATTTCTCTCTGGCCGGCTACATAAATACCCACTATAGCTCACAATAGTGTATTATTAATCATTGTGTACTTGCCACTTATATATGATAATAATTAAAATTTTATGTAAGCATTGATTATTTCCGATTGATGTATATAAAGTAAAATGTGTATTGAAGTATTTTGTTTGTGTAATTGCCAATGGCATTGCATATACATGTATATTGTATTGGTACATATTAAATAATCAAATAATAAGGTTTTTACTCTAAAATAGCATACCCCGATAAAATTAAAAGCTTGTTGTATACTCAACTCACACAACTTAAAATTTCTAAGTTTCCTGTACACTTGTTGCACACTCCTGACAAAAAAATTGAGTTTTCTGCACACTTATGGCAAACTCCTGATGAAATTGAAAGTTTATTGCACACTTACTGCACACATCTGTTGAAAAACCAAGTGTCTTGCACATTTTCTGCACACTCATGACAGAAAATTTACATTTTCTGCACACTTGTTGCATACTCTTGATCAAATTTTAAGGTTATCGCACACTCTCCGCATGCTTCTATTGAAATACCAAGTCTCTTGCATACTTTCTGCACACTATCTGTACTTATGGAAGTGTGCAGTAGGTGTGCAACAAGAAAAAAATTTTATCGCACACTTCTGCACACTTCCCAAAGCTGTCTACTGCACACTCTAGAGTGTGCCGCACATGTACAGTACATTTGCAGCATATGTGCTGCACACTTTTCATTTTGCTAAGGGACATGTACCGGTAGTAGATCATAGAAAAAGAAGGTGCAACAATATTAAATTGACAAATTAGATATAAAACTGACACGCATTGTTTGACTATCAATTGAAAACTGTAATAATATCCAAAATAACCGGTGATAATCGCCAAAATAAAGGGTCATGGATGACACAAAAACCTGGATTTTGCACGATTTTTGGTACAAAAAATTCTGCAACATTTGTTTCCAAAGATGGATTTTAATAATATTTTATACATACAACATTGATTAAAAGATACATTATCTCCCGCACACTCTCTAGTTGAGGAATAGTGGCCAAAGTTACAATGTTGCCAAGGTCAAATTTTACCGCTCAGTGCGACTTTGACGAACTCAAGCTCATTCTAAACTACATAATTTCAATAGAAGTGTACATGAATATGAAGTCTACATACCCAACAATCATAATATCATATTAGACTTGCTAAGTATGCATTTATTTAGAGTATATAGCTATTCTTTGAACAAGTTTAAATTTAAAAATACTTAGTTCAATTTTTGACTACGGAAAATTCATATGGAATGAAATACCTGATAACAAATTTAACTAGCAGTTTGTTAGCAACACTAAAAAGGTAATCAGATGCGCGTGCCAAACTAGTGAACAAAAGGACAGTTCGCTACGGGAGACGGTTTAGTGGCACGCGGTTGCATGGGTTCAAGCCTCTTACAGCTATAATCCTATCACCACAACAAACAATGGGGACCTTCTGGCTGATGTGTCCTGCTGTTAATTACACTTTGTTACAGTGGATTGTTGCGCTCTCGTTGGACCACAGATACTGGCGTCAAGTGGTTCACTCGCCTAAGGTATTGTGTGTTATTACGCCTAAACTATTGTGTTTTTGCAATCGAATTTTGAAGGGATTTAGACGGTTCTCCATTGTTTGTCCGCCCCCTTCTATTCACAGGATAGGGATTAAAAAATTTCAAACATTTTTAAAATGTTATACAACAGAAACATAATTATTATTACTACTGTATATGTATTCTGATCGCTGTCTATGCTAGGCTTCCTCTAGCAATAGATTTGTCTTAGTCACTGTGGCTAATTGGGCCTAAAAATTCTTAGCCAAAAGAAAAACTTGTTAGCCACACTTTTTTCAACAACCTTTTCAGCATTCTTTTTTTTTTTTTTTTTTGTGCAAGGAAAACAGGTTTATAAATGATCAAAAGATCATGGCCAACAACATGAACAAGTTCAGCAAACTTCTGCAAAATGTAATGGAGTAATTGGTGTGTGAGAAAATGATAATACACTATGTAACTTTTTAGTAATGTTAGCATAAGTCTTCAGTTGAGGAATTAAAGAAAATTACAAATGATTTGGCTTGAAAGAGAAATATGTTTCTTTTTTAAATAAGTCCGTTATCAAAGAAAAATTATTACCTTCTTAAGGGAATGAAGATACTATATTTGTTTTGAGAAATGACAGAAAATTGATTGAAAATTGAAAATTCTAAGGTTAGGGCAATGAAAGAGAATTTGGCCATCTGCTTGACAACACCATGGAGAACAGCTCGCCCTTCAAGACCACGGTCAGCAGCTGCATTATACAAACAGCTGATGGTTGTGTAGATGTCCTCAGCACTTGTCCCAGGTAGCTCCCTCACCCCCATAAACCTACTTTTCACTATGCCAGTTGCATCTATGTAGCGGTAGTAAATGAAGATGACAGATTTGTTGGAAGAGTCTGTGGCCTCATCTGCACATATATCGTATATGTGATAAGGGGATGTCATCTGGTCTGCTTTGATTTCGTCCTCTGTCACAGCCTGGAGAACCATGTAGAAATCATTCAGGGAGTTGCTGTGAGTATAATAGCTCTGCTCAGTGTCATCTGTCTTGAGGTGCCTCAGTGAAGAGACTCCCTGTTAAATTAAAAAAAAAAAAAAACAGCACTGTAAACTGTTGTCTAAAGCTGTTAAATAGAGACACCTGCCACCAATGCTATAACATTATCATTGCAGATAAGGGTAAAATAAGGAGTAAATTTGGATTAAATAATTGTTTTCTTGATATTTTGTTAATTAATGTAAATGTGCTACTGAATCCTCAAAGGGAGGAAGTGAATTAACAGATAAAATTCACATGGAAGTATTTCAAATTTATTCTGTAAAAGTTGAGTAAGCAACTACTACAACTAATAATCCCAGCGGGCAAAATATGTTGTTTTAACATTGAAACAACGTTGAACCATAACGTTGATAAGACGTTGGATAAACATTGGATTTAAAGTTGGCTCAACCTCAGATAACAACTTTGTATCAACGTCAGATAACAACATTGTATCAACCCGAGTTGTTAGACAACATTCTTGCATGAAAAGACATTGAAATGACCTGAGGGTAGGGTATAAAAGTATGGACTTTAAATTAAAATTTCCAAGGTTTAGATTAAAATATATATATGTTAACTGAGAAATTATCATTTGTAAATGGGTCACTTAGATCTAAATCAGTTTTATATATTTTCAAGGTGACAAGGGTTAATGTGAACTGCTTGGAGTTGAGGGGGAGCTAGGGTTCACTAAGCAAAAATTTTGATATAGACAAAATTCCATGTATTCATTCTGATGCCTGTGCATTGTCTGTTGTGACAGTGAATGTGACTGGATGTATATTCTGATCACTGTCTATGTCTTAATTGTCGCTGTATATGTTTACTATAATATAATTATATATTTTGATCACTGTGTTATTGCTGTGTTGTTACTACTGTATGTGTCTATAAATATATTTTATTTTTGATGTATTATCTTTTTTCAGTAGAGATGAACACGTGTTTCCTGGATTATCATCACACTAAGAACAGCTAAATTGATCTCAACCTCACAGCCTCTGCACAGGTCAGTGCAACAACGATATTGCCATACTGAATATTCTCTTTAATCGCAGTTTGACCATTGCCACTATATCTCGTAACTGAGAAATTAATTATCATTTGTAAATGGGTCACTTAGATCTAAATCAGTGTCATATATTTTCAAGGTGACAAGGGTTAATGTGAACTGTTGTTGGGGGGGGGGGGTGGGGGGGAGGCGAGGGTTCCCTAAGCAAAAATTTTGATATAGACAAAATTTTATATATACATTCTGATGCCTGTGCATTGTCTGTTGTGACATTGAATGTGTCTGTATAGTATTCTGATCAGCTGAACTCATCTCAACCTCACATCATCAGCACAGGTCAGTGCAACAACGATATTGGTACATTGGTGATTCTCTTCAATCCCATTGTGAACATTGCTGCTATACAGTATGTTTTACCTGAGAAATTATCATTTTGGAAAAAGGTGAATTAGATCTCACTCAGTTTTATATATATTCAAGGTGACAAGGATTAATGTAAACTGTTGGGGGGCGCTTAGCAAAAATCTTTACATAGACAATACAATAAATTACAATACAATAAATTTGATTTCATGTCGGTTATAAATTGAATGGAAACATTAGCTTTACAGCTATTCGCCGACTGGGTAAGGATGAAAACATATCTACAAATTACAATAATGCAATATTTACACATGAAGTCTAGTAAGAGAGTAAAAAGAAAATCTTTCAACAAAGAGTATACAAAAACACATGAAAAACTTTCTACAAAGAGTATACAAAAACACATAGTCGAGTCGCCACTCTCATAGGCCCAATAGTCGTACCCTGCAATGTTCCTTCCTGTAATTTTTTTTTTGCTAAAATACATTCTTCAGGCTGAGAGAAGCAAAATTAGCTTGGTTGCTATTTCTGAGACCTTGCGCATTTTTCAATATGGCCGTCAATTTATGAGGAAAAATAGAAAAACGACCAGAAGTCGCCAGGTAAACTTTATTGACAGCTTTTTTGAACGTGTATCCTGTCAGGAGAGCACAACAGTACTAGTGAATACACTTAATGGCGTACCACTTAGCAAAAATCCAAAATGGCCATCAAAACATACGGCAGAAAATAATAAAAGCTGCAGAATCAGTTTGTTTTTTGCATATTTAGTTTTATTAAAACCATATCCCCTTTTTATATTTATGTTAATTTTAATATTTTGTTAGTCATGACAATGAACTGTTGGAATAAGCTTATCTGACAGTTCAATAACCCCCCCCCCCCCGAGAGTCTGTTTGCTTGCCCGGCTCCCATAGTCAAATACTTTGAATGTTATTCCCTGAAATTTTTTAAAAGAATTTAATACTTTGGGGGTATAAAAGCCAATTTAATTTGGGCTTTCTTGGCAGTGGCTACATACTGAACATTGATCAATTTTCAAAATTCAAGATGGCCGTCAATAATATAAAAAAAATATTATATTATCATTATATTATAAATAAATAATTATGTAACATAGCAAAGAGTCGGGTTTAAAGTGCATGGTTTTCGGCATTTCAAATGACCGCTAAAACATGCCCAAAAAGGTAAAAATAAGCAGTTAAATTATGTTTTAAACCGGTAATTCGTTGTATAATATATATCAAACGTTTTTTATTTATTGACAAAGTGTACTTGTAAGGTACAGTTATACTAAGAGGATCATTGATAGGACTGACCATTACGTAAGTTCTCTTTTTAATACAGGCTCAATCTAATGAAACGTTTATCAATGGTCAACAGGGGGTTCTGCAGGAATTTGGGCACAGGGAGTCCAAAATGTTAATCTTCAATCGGGACTCTTATATTTACATGGAGTCCAACCAAGTCCGTTGGTGGGGACAGGGTTGGGGGCGGGGGGGGGGGGGGGAGGGTAATTTTATTGAACTTTTGTCAAAATATTAACCGTATTATTATTTTCGGTTTTTGTTTTTATATTGATCATACCTTAATATTTTGATTTTATATCTTTATCATAACTTTTTCAGTATGTACATAAAATTTAGCTTTAAAACTTCCCATTTTTTTTTTTTTTTTTTTTTTTTTTTTTTTTTTATGAGATTGGCACTTGTAAGAATATTTCATCAGTATTTAACAGCATTTCTAGTTTTTCTTATTACTGCACTTTTTTTTTACTTTACATTTTAAAGAGTCAATAAAAAAAACATCTCACAAATCTTTTGGTTATATACTGACAGCCATTAAAATCTTTGAGGACATATTTTTCAAAATAATTGTTATTTTGAAGCTCTTAACTGGATTATTTTCATATAAATCATTTGTTTAGGACATTGGTATACAGAACCAAAAATCTTAAGTTTCATGAATAGTTTCAAGACAAAAATGGCACCAACCCAACACAAAATCACAACAGTCAATAGCCGGTACGATCTCCGCTTGCTTCGATGCAGGCGGCGATCTGTTGGCGCATGCTCAGGCAATAAATGTGGATGGGATGGTGTCGTGCGGAATCCTATTCCAGCCTTGTCATAGTGCCTGGATCAGCTGCTGCCTTGGCCAATGGACGGCCAAGATATAGTAGTACCACAAGTGTTCAATCGGATTCATATCCGAAGAATAGACAGGTCGGGGTAGGACATCCACCCTTGGGACTCCAGATACACTTGGATCATTTGTGCTGAATGTGAACGGGTCTTGTCCTGTTGGGAAATGGTGATTTCAGTTTTCTGCTGCATGAACGAGGTCATGTGAGGTTGCAGAATCTGATCTACAGTTACAGGATTAATTTCGAGGACACTTTAATAGCCTTGGTTTATAATCCTTATGGTAGTTAAACGACTATTATCAGTGCGTTAATTATAGGGAATTAAACCTTAAGCCGTTGGGACCCAGCAGCGATAAATACTACTCTAACTCGGCCTAAATTTACTCAGCTTGCTTTTAGCCACCCACTGTGAGCAGGACACCATCATCAATAGAAAGATACTCCTGCACTTTCATTTAGATAAACAGGGTGATAAACCCGATGGGGTGAGTGGGGTGAAAATGCCGGCCTTTGTGAGTCAGAAGAATAGTAGCCTGCGGATCGCGTCGTGTATTTCTCGAGTTAAATGCTCTCAAATTGCATTATACTGTTGAATAACCACGAAGAAAAAGATAATAACTGAAAGTCCTTGAATAATCCCACCTTTTATAATACTTTTTTTTACATTTCAAATGATGAACATTTTGCTGTTGTGAAACATGCTAGTAAAAATCACGCACTATCTTTCCCGACTGGCATTTATTCAATTTGATGCACTATAAAATTAAGAAATTTAACAGTTATAATTATATCATTGTCAAGGTATTTAATTTCACAACTGCATAAATTTTCATAATTTGTCTAGTCGTACACCATGATACACCGCAGTAGGGTTATAAGATTGCAGTCATTTTTTTTATTCGTATGACAAACAAACTGCCAAATTATGAAAGGGGACACCTTCCGGACCTCCATGCATACGGCACCTGGCAAAGCTGATAGACAAAAAGGCAATTTTCAAATTTTCAGCGCGAGATCGTTTGCAATCCGAGAGAGACAAGGAGGCAATTTTCATATCTGCTAAAAAGACTTCGTTAGCCAAAGAGCAAGACGAGAACGCAAGTTTCGTATTGTCAGCGGGAGATCATTCGCAATCCGAGCGAAACGATAATGCAATTCTCATATCCGTTCAATAGCTTCCGTTTGCGGAAGATCGTCAGCTGGAGATCGTTCTCGATCTAAGCGAGACGAAAAGGCAATTTTCATATTCTTTCATGGGAATTGGTTCGCAAAAGAGTGTCAGCGGCAGATCGTTATCGATTGTTATTAACCCTCCCTTCCCATTGAAATTTATTATAATTTTATAAAATATTTTTTCACTTCATCACACTCCCACCCCATTTTGGACAGCCTGTATCCCAATCCTAGAAAAAAGGCTTGGTTCTGGGTGAAATGATGTAATGGAACTTAATTGAATAGCCGCAATGTATTTAATTTTAACTGATGATTTTATTACCGGTGAAAACTGAGCTATAATATTTGGCGAATTTAATTTATTCTAAATTTACATTTAACTGTACCTGGGAATTTTGAAAATCTGTGCTTACAATTCTAAAAGGTCAGGTTGCGCCCCTGATCCTTAACCTACCCCTCGCTGGTTAATTACTAGTTTACTTAACATCACAAAACGCAGTAGATCACTTTCCTGAAACCGCACTAATACATGTATCAACAGATTTGCTCGCGGGGTTTATGTAAAGGGCGGTTGATTTTAACTTGTGTATAGGCATAGCTTAGGTTTTGCTTAGCTCGTGAAGTTTATATGCACTTTTTCTCAAAAATGTGTTAACATGTCTTGCCCCACCAGTCAGCTTTTGTTCATTACATCCGGGATATAGCGGTTTCCTTCGTGTCTCTTAAATATATGAGTCGTCGTGGAAACTTCCAACACTTTACTTGCTTCAGGAAAGTCTGCCCTTCCACATCAAAGTTGAACAATTTGCGTGTGTTGCTAGACTTTGTTTTGATTATTTTCAGCGACACAAGTTGATAGAAGTCGTAGCCGCCCTGACGCGTAAACAAGAGTTGCAGCTCTTTGTTAGTAACGAGCTAATTGCACTCTTAACCTACCCCTTGCTAGTTAATTACTAGTTTAGTAAACAGTACAAAACGCAATACAAAACAAAGATCACTTTCCTAAAACAGAAATAAGCTCTGCATCAGTTAATATATGCTATCTCACCCATCTTCACTACACAAATATGAGCGGTAGCTGTCGTGTGTACTGGGTAAGGGGGTGGCAGTGAAACATTTGTTATAAATATAGATACAAAGAATGTTCGCATCCTTCACCCCCTGGTAAATAATTACAAAATTGGGTTGATATGTTAGTTTGATCTTTTTTCCACAATTTAAAAGTTTACTTTTTAAAAGTTTTAACTTGTTACTTAAAAGTCTAATTTAGTTTAATTGTCTAACCGAACAAATGTTGATTCCATGCAATTAATGG